AATTACCAGCACATTGTCTTTAAGTGGAAGCATCATGTACGTTTATACGGTAATTAAAGATAATGGACAAAGAGCATTAAAGACAATGCCCGGTTAATCAAGACATCGGCTCATATTTACTCTTTAACGTCAAGACTTATAATGCGATGACCACATTATATGTATTATGGACAGAGTTACAATGGCTAGACGTTGTTTTAAGTGACCTTTCAGACATGATAATGTAATGGAATGTTAGCATGTATCAAAATTGACATGGTGATCAGTTGCGGCGCCATTGAGAGTACACGGGAAAAATGGTTTGTACTCTCACTTCATTTCTAAAAATTTAAAAATTGTGATCTTATATATAAAATATGTGCCAGGATACACCCAAAATTTGCCCTTCACAGAGATGTCACATATTGTATCTCAACCTATCCACCCATAAAATCAGTCTGCCCTCTATCTGTACCTCCAGTCTCTATAAAAGTGTCAGGCCGTCGTCTTGTTTCCGTATAAGAACGAAACAGCCTTTTGGGGATCATAAAATAAGTTCACGGGTCCAACTGGTCCTTGGCGTTAATTTGTACTGGATTATGTTTAGCCGTTTCAGCTGGGTCGACTGAAAGTCACCAGACGTTCAAATGCAGACCGAGAGTAGAGCCCACGATTACTATTTTTCGACTTGACAAAGAATATGAATGCAATATTCTAACCTATTGTGCTGTAGCCCGCTCTCTATATGTGTTCTTTATAGGCTTTGTCCAAAATATCCATCAGCATCAACCGTCGAGTTGACAAAACCCAGTTGTACAGTGACATTTTATCATATTCAGAATTTAAAATTTGACGCATAGTTTTGATCAATTTTTATTCACTTGTTCTGTCTTGCCAGTGATTTTAATTTTTACTAGAAGTTACCAATTTTCCGGGACGTCACCGTTATGTTTTCTTTGATGATTTGTGGTAAGCAATAACCGTTATGGCTTATATGGATAAATATATTGGTTTCATCATAATATTCTCTATAACGACCGCCAACTTTCAGCTGTCGACCAGACGTTACAACAATAAACAACCTTCCAGCTGAGATGTCACCTGACATTCAGTCTTGTTTTTATTAATTATTGAATGTCAATCGGAGATTAAAATTCGTCTAGAGTTAATATAAGTCAAGGATGTTTGTCAATTATCAAAGTTAAATTGGACGAACTAACATTATTATATTAAGTGGTCAAAATAGCCCTGAGGTATACAACTTTAATAACAATAATTAGGTACAATAGCTGGAGGAATTTTACTTCAATATCACTACCGTAGGTTCTTTAGGCTCAAATTATCGAATAAGATATTTCTGAAATGAAAAGCCAAACCCAAAATCCATCGATAATCTTAATCATATAATAAGAACATTAAAAATAGGTTCGGCCTTTTCAAAAAAATAAAACCAAGGATGTTGTTGCCTTCAACAATAACTCGTCGCACGTCATTTCTACGATAACATCCACTTCAACATTGATAGAAAAACAATATCAGGAAATTGTAAAATTATTCTATAAAATGTCATATTAAGATTAAATTGCCTTTTTTTCACATTGTGAAATTTTACAATTTAATAACATCTTCTCCTAGCACAGTCACTTACTTATCGGCAATATTTCAAGATCTGTTACAGTTGTATTACTTGTTCAAATTTCTGTATTCGAATTTCAGTGTAATTCAAGATTCGTTTTTATACATATTTTCAATAATTTTGAATTGCAGAAGACAGCACATGATTCCACACTCCGCAACTTGGTTTGTCTACTTGGTTGCCCTTTATAAAGAGTCCACAGAGCTATTATTATTGATTTATTTTGTATTCTAAAGTAAAGAACTAAATAACTATAGCTCTTCAAATACAATCAGAGTTTATTATGAGAAAAAAAAGCATAGTAAAGAAATCCAGCAACAAAGAGCGGATTTTTGCTTAATTTTCCCTACACATTTGTATTTTATATACCCAGACTCAATCACGCAAGGCGTCTATATATTGTCAGATGCTTCAACCATGTCAGCTCGTCCGATCTGCATCTCTGACAATTAAATTTTTTTATCAGAACACACTGTGATTGTTTAGGAAGAGGGTTGTTTCACTGACTTAACTTGTTCCAGTAACACGGTGAAAGATGAAGGACAAAAGCAAACAGCCATTTTCTACAAGGATAACAACTTCCTTAATCATGGATCCTTATTACCAGCTGATGTTCGGTCAAACCTATTGGGATTTATCTTTCCTGGATTATCCGTATCCGCATACAGCTGGGTCAACTGGAATAATGACTGGCAATATGACTTATTCAAGGTCACCAGATTTTCAATAGCCGATCTAAATTAGAACCATCATGTGTTCGTCGTTACCAAGCAAATAATGTCAAGTAAAAGATTCGATGCTATAACCGACTTTTGCTACAAAACTAAGATAACATCAACAACTTGGTCAAATCACTGAACTAAATAACTATATAGGTTTAATCACAATCAACAAGATAAGTCGATTGAACTGTTTTTAATTTTAACTTCAAGAACAGATTATATCTTTATATCTGTAGGGGTTTGTCTAGAATTGAGATTTATATTAAATTGTGTAGGCCTAGTTGATATATATATTATAATAGACTAGTTCTGTATAGGTTATAAAGTCCCGATTTTCTTCACAGACTATTTTAGGTGAACTGAATGGTTTACTAATACTCGCCAATGATTTACGTCAGGATATTTGATATTTAATTGATAATTTGAGATGGGATACAATGTCCGGTGTCGGATCATCAACAACTATAGAGGGTGCAATTACACGACCCGACTCTAATTTGTATATCCTTTTTCTTGTATCTCGAACAGCACATCACACCGGGGCACCATCTTGGTTGTGTTGGTAGATGACAAGTTAACATCCGCTTCCAGTAACACATATTTTATTCTATTGTCTCTCTACAAGTTCCTTAACATGTCTCCTGCTCCCTCCTTTGGAAATTGCTTTATTCTAAGGAACTGACTGGAACTAATGCAGTGAAACAAATGGACTTAATTCATGTCACAACAAGGTCTTTATAACTATATTTATAATGTTAATATCAACCTTAGCAGTTTCTTTCCACTTTCGTAACATTTTCTAGATCACAGAATCACACCCTTGACAAAACATTTATGTCATGAAAAGAGGAACAGTGGTTCTGTAAAACCTCTGATAAACCTCTCTATAGTATCGATAATCTTAGACCGGAAGTGAACAAGTTAAGCCTCAATTTTAAACTATGTACATCAAAGGAGAAATCATGTAGAGAGTTGTACCTCCACGAATAACACAAAATTGAGACACTGAACGAAATGAAATTAAAATGTCATTAAATGTCTCTCAGTCAATTAACCACAACCGGAAGGGACGAATTAAAACCACAATTTTGAACTGTTGAAATCTGTACATCAAAAGAGAAATCATGTAGAGAGTTGTTCAATAACCTTCTGATAGGGTATACCGGAAATTGTAATTTCCATGGATACGAAAGTAAAACTTGTTAAAGATGACACAGTAAGTTTTTATATGATTTGACCCTCTTCAGTTTGATTTTAACAACCTACAACTTGTCATCAGAAGGACAGTCATGTCTACTTTATCATTGTAGATGTCTGAGAGATTTTATTGAAGATTTGATGTCAGTCATCTATAGAGTGGAAAGAATTTTAACACAAGTCTCCTTTGGAAATTCTTATAGATCCTAACCTAAGCCGGATGTTACCTTCCAAAATGTGAAAACAGATCTGGTGAAGAACAAAAGCACCATTTTGTTCTCACAGTTAACAACAGTCCCGGTCAAACCTATTGGTATTGACCTCCTTGGTATTGGTCTTTCCCGAATTATCCGTACCCATTTACAGGTGGATCGACTGGATTAATGATGCAGGGTGACTTATACGAGGTGACCAAATCAGCGTCATATTCATAGTATTCAAGCAAATGTCGTCATACAGCCTTATTTTCCAACGCTATGAAAGACAGTGCAACAGAATCACTCATAGCTATAGGATTACTACTACAACCAAGGTAAAGTTAATGAAACGCCACCTGCACACTTCTATCCCGATGACACAGAACCAATTGAAGGTCGATGACAGCAAAGACAGTAAATGGTCTACATTTCACGGGGGTTTAAATTGTAGATTAGAGGTAATCAGTCAGGCTTATATAAACTGTTGATTGACAAAGAGAATTAGGTAAATTGTCCTCAGGTCATCATTGTGAGGACTAAACTCATCAGACGATTCGGATTACTATATTAGAACTATTAGTTTGGCTATTATATTGGCAGTTTACTCTGAGTTGGATGGGAGTAGATGGAGTATTTTGTGGGTCGCCAGTTTTCAAAGTATCTGCATTGACATCGTACCACAACCCAATTACGATAATATCTGTGTCAGCCATTTTGGTCTGTTTTCACTTGGTGAACTGCTAAAATGCAATATTGTATCGTTAAGAATTTGACGGTTTACATATTTTGCTGTTATTGAAAACTGACAAGCCAGGATACAACCAACAAACAAAATATCCAGATCTTCATTTTAATCATTGAAATCAATATCTGCTGAGTTGAATGATCCCTGTTATAATGCTCGACAGAATATTGTGGTGTACAGTAAATTATGACAGTTACCTAGTCCACTGTGAACTTAAAATAACCAATACCCAATAAGCTTAAAATATCTTTACCCTCTGGGCGAGTATCTATTTGTGTCTATATTAAGCTGTTATAAATTGATATCGACTAACGACACGAAATCAATCAGTAAACCCAGACAGCTGACCACCGCCGATCATCAAGAATCAAGATTGTCCAAGACAAGAACCAAGCTTCCCCTAGGGTAATACAAGTAGACACAAGCTTTATGCTATCCCAGCGGGAGGATTACATATTTTACATCCAAAGAACTAATTAAGAAGTTCCTCCTGCGCATTTCTGTCCTGATGCCAAAGAGCTAAAATGCAGTTGGTAGACAGTCAAAACAGTAAATATGTTAGGGAAAAGTAAGAAGTAAATTTGTTTGCTTGTTAAAAGGAAATTAATTTCTTCTGCCTACATTCCAGAAGGGGGGGGGGATAGGGGGGGGGTGCCAAATAAAATATAACATCAACCAGAATGATGTCTTCGTTGTGGCATCGACTAGTCTCAATAACTTTTTTTTAAAACCATCAACTCTAATTACAGTGGTTCCAAAGATACTTATTTCATAATGTTCATACGAGATAAGAACGAAATCCAATTGGAATTGTTAAAAATAGGCATGTATTTTTCTTCCTTTGTAAATTTAATTTCCTTAAATTGTCAAAAACAATCAAAAACCTGATATGTAACCTTTCAAAAGAAACAAAAAGGAACATTTTAAAGCCGATTAGCCAAATTATTCACAGAATTACAGAAGTATGAATATAAATATTGTCTGGAAAAGTTTTAGTTTAGTTTTGATCATCAAGTTTCTTATAATCTATGAATGTGTCTTACATTTCTGTTTGTCGCTTTTACCACGGTAACATGGAATATATTTTCCAGCGGCCTTTACTTATCCTCGTATGAACTTCCATTACCCCGAAAGAAGTGACAATACTATGTAGTAGTAAAGGTGGGTTCAGAGCGACTGTCGATTCAATAGATTTCATCAGATCCGTTGCAGTTTACACAATGTAACAATCTTAGAATATTGACTACCAGCAACTACAATCAACGACAATATCCAAGGTTTGCTATACAACAACTGGTGGCTAGGTTTGCTATACTACAACTGGTGGCTAGGTTTGCTATACAACAACTGGTGGCTAGGTTTGCTATACAACAACTGGTGGCTAGGTTTGCTATACAACAACTGGTGGCTAGGTTTGCTATACAACAACTGGTGGCTAGGTTTGCTATACAACAACTGGTGGCTTGGTTTGCTATACAACAACTGGTGGCTAGGTTTGCTAAACAACAACTGGTGGCTAGTGCCTGTCGTGGATGCGCTCAATCGGACTGTGCTAATCAATCCAGACTCACAATGTATTTCTCTGAAGTAGGAAATATAAGACGAAGCCCAAGAAAATTTAAACAAGTCAAATACAAAAACGTCTAATTAGGGAACTAGGTCAATTCAAATGAAGTTCCTAATTGTGCTCAAGCATTTTACATTTTTATTTCCGGTAAGTTTAATATCAGTCAGTAAAACTATCTAATGATTTGTGAACTTTGACCTCTTAGCACTATTTCAATGTTTACAATGGGATATCGTTTCCCATAGTGTACCAGTTAGTTGATTAGTAAAAACGAGATTGTAGTTAATAATTCAATAGTAACTCTCTGATGAATAGTTCCTGGAATTCCACTCAAGATTATAAGACAATCAGGAATTAGCTGCTCATAAATAATGTGTCAATAATGAACACAGTAACATAATACTCGGCGGAGCAATCTCGCTAGAATTTTCAGAAAAAAAAAACACCAATAATTTTAGATCATAAATCATTGAGAAACTCAACATGGACACATTCAAACCTCCATGCACAAATCGAATTGCAATAGCCAAGAAAATCAGCGAGGCAATCGTGAAACAAATTCGATAACCATCAATGATCATTCAGGAAAAAGAAGGTTAGATTAAATATTAAATATAAGAAAGAAAGGATAGCTATTTTAAGGATAGAAACCGGTTGGTGCTTGAGCAAATCTTTCGACGTACCTGGTTTATCGTTATCCAACTTCTGGATCGACTGATCTTGAGTAAAGATAACTTATTCAAGGTCATCTGGTTTTCAGACGCCACCCGATATAAGAACACGCACCACTATTTACAGAATATATCTTTAAAGAAACTAACGCTCTAACCTACTGTGCTACAGATCCCTCGGCATAACAAATGTCGTGGCTCGCCAATAGTATTTATGGCGAATTCCATCGCCTTGTAAAACAGTATTTTGGTCAAAAGTGGCCGGAACAACTTCCATTAAAATGTGGCATTTTATGTCTGGCCTTTACCTTGCCGATATCCCATCCGCATGTCACGCCCGTGAAAGGTGTAGGTGGGGCCACATTTGTCGGGCTAAAAGATACTATGTAATAATTCTGAGAGAAGCGTGTACCAATTCTTCTTGGAAATACAATGGGCACTGCCATGGCAAACACCAAGAGTCATATAAAGTTACGTTTGTCAACAGAAGATGTGAAGATTCCACCACCATATAAAACAGTAATTTGGTCATGAAGTATTTTGTAGTCTATTAAAGAGAAGAGAGTAAGAGTAAAATAGTATCAAGATGACTGACATCAAATCTTCAATAAAATCTCTCAGACATCTACAATGATAAAGTAGACATGACTGTCCTTCTGATGACAAGTTGTAGGTTGTTAAAATCAAACTGAAGAGGGTCAAATCATATAAAAACTTACTGTGTCACCTTTAACAAGTTTTACTCTCGTATCCATGGAAATTACAATTTCCGGTAAACCCTATCAGAAGGTTATTGAACAACTCTCTACATGATTTCTCTTTTGATATACAGATTTCAACAGTTCAAAATTGTGGTTTTAATTCGTCCCTTCCTGTTGTGGATAATTGACTGAGAGTCATTCAATGACATTTTAGTTTCATTTCATTCAGTGTCTCAATTTTGTGTTATTTATTGAGATAAGTGTCACACGCCAAACTCACGTCAGGTGTAAATATTCTGAGATCTATGTAGATTTGAGCTTGAGAACATGTTAAACGGTGTTACCCGCAAGTTTTCATCTCCATTCCTTGATAAAAACCTCATCCCAGTACACCAGTAACATGAGGGCTTCTAGATTTGTTCACCATTGTGTGTCAAAAAGAATATTGCGTAGAGCTTGCTTTAAATGGAACAATCGAATTAGTATCAAAGCGTTTTTAAGATCAATGAGGTTTAGATCGAAGACATTATGGCATCATGTTTTGTACAGAATGGGATTAACGTCAAGCCGGAATTTTGCTTATCCTGATTTTAAGTAAGGCCGTCTAAAGGTAATCCTATGGCACACTTCAACAACGAAAAGCTGCTGACAATAAGAAAAATATATGGGTTAATATGAAGTGTTCAACTCGTGTTAAAATAGAAGGAACTGGAAACTAAAAAAATACAATGTCATTTGAATCTGTTTTATTTTCAGATTTTCAAATTTAATCATTATATAATACCAAAATAGCATTTCTGTTCATAACATGTAACCTATGGCTTCAATTTGAATAACAATTTTAAAATTAAGATAAGTGAGAACTTGCCTGCAGAGCTTCCTTTTACTTTTTAAAATTCAAAATAATTTAATTTTTAAAACCATTGCAATAAAAACAACATGACATGAAGTAATGGAGTTCTCTAAATATTGACCTGTCCACATCTCTTTCAAAAACAAGAACCCTGCAACTTTTAGAAACAATATCTAATTGATATAGCGGACGGACGAGACGAAATAGACCTCAATTATAAAGACTCATCCGTACTTACTGCACAACAAAACAAAATGGATACCTATCTTTTAAAGAAATGTTAGTTTATAGAACCAATGGTGCTGACAATGAAGTTCACTTTTCTGCAGAGTAATTTCTCTTTAAGAAACAACACCCAAAATTGGAAGCACCCGGCTTGCCCGGCTCTAGCCCCCACCCCCCCAACCCCCCCCCCCCCACCCCCCCCTCTTTCTCTCTCCCCCACTTAAAATTATTCATCAATTTACATAGTGAAAGTATTGTCCGTGGCTACCCCATCTGGAAAACCTAATTTTCTTTCTTTAGTTCCTCTTTTTTTATAGACAATTTCAAACTCAAACTGAGACATATATTATGTAGTCACGTTGGATAGATAAGGTTCATTCTCGTTAATTACAGACAAACTCAACGTAAAATTGTAGAGTGAAGAGTGAAATAAACAGAACATGCTATCAAAGTATACTATCATTAGATGACAACATGCCTTTAAAATGCCAGTGGTTATCATAAACCATCTTTTATTCTAAATATAGTTGTTTTCTAAATAAGTAATCGATGGTATTTCAACAAGAATAAAGAGCCGAGACCGATAATAATAGATAACAATTTCAGATTTTTAAATTTTTTAGATATTTAAATAGTTTAATTCCTATTTCTTCCTACATGTATTGAGTGAATAGCACTGATTGTAAAATCGAACTCAATTATTTTGGTGAGAAATTTAAAACCATATTTAATGCTGTAATTATGAATGTTTATCTTGTTAAATGATGCGAAAATCCATTCCATGCTTTTATGCTTTATATGGTAACAAAACATAAACGCTTGACGTAGAAGTAAGTGGTATTATTTGCATCATATACATTCATTGAAGACAATGAGTTAGTCCCATGGAGTACAGTATATAGAAATGAATATAGATTATGATCGACACGATAATCATGCTGTATTCGTTACTTCTCCGAAGTTTGAAGAACAAATAACCACTCGGTAAGTGTTCGGTTCACATCTCGGAAATTCACGATTGATACACGTGGTTGTAAATAAATCAAAATCTCGTCCAAAGTATGAAAAAATTGAGAGTAAAAGTTTTACCTAAAAATGAAATGAACGGAGTTTTATGTTCTTCTTGTCTGCACTATGTGGGTTAATGATGACAGACAACGTCATACAGGGTGCAATGAGGGACATTTTGCCACGACAGCAATAGTCTGCTCTTTTACTATTTCGAACTGTCGAGGGATCTAAGTTTAACGCGCACAGCCAGTAGCACACGGGGCCTAGGTTTACTGTCGCATCCGAACGACTCCTCCACGGGAAGTACCCTTAATATACTTTTATTCGTGTAGTATCCAAACATCAAATGTGCTTATTATAGAAATGTTATTACTCATCTCGGAAACTGGTGTTTTGCAATACTCGAGTTTCCCACATAGTTTAAGTGTTTCCGAATGATATTTCCTACAGGGAGGATTCCCACTTCCAAGATTCCAGAGAGATAAAGAATGTAACATTCGATGCTACGAGTAAGTACTCCACCCACGCCATAGCTAAACGATTGGGTAAAGAAATTGAATGTCGACGAGTTCTGAAAATCTTGAAAAGACTTATCCTGACAATATTCTGAACAAATATAAAAAAAAACAATATTTTATAGACGTTTCAATTTACATTGTCAAATTGATAAACATTTATCCCGAGATTACATTTGTCTATAGTTGTTCATATGTTTGGGCAAATGGTCATCCAACCATCTGTCTTTATTCAAGCCATTGATAGCTGACAGCCCCTAAACCCCCTAACACGTGCGCACCAGCAAAGATATATTGTAATTTTAGTGCAATTAACAAGCAACGCCAAAGTAAACACTAATATACTTTGATATTTAATAATTTGATATAATAACAGCTCTCAATGTTGATATTGACGCAACTCAAACAAACTAGACGTTTCATCATTTGATTAGCCATGTTTAATTATTCATCAAGTATTGCAAATTTCGACAGAATATCTAAAATTATCCATACAGATAATATCTATACTGACCTTTCAAAGAAATTAATATTCGCCTAAAGTCTGTTTGTCAAAGCAAGAGAAACAGCCAATTTAAAGTTGATTGATTATTGAGCAGCGAAGTCATATTAAAGCTACTTAAATGATGCTCAACAGCTAACCTGAAGGGCCAAGGGTCGTTCTGGGCATAGACCTTTCCTGCAAGCAGAGCGGATCTAGGCTTCGTAAGATACAGTCTGTAAACGATATAGCTCGTCCCACAATTTGGAAATAGAAAAAGGAATAAGCGAATACCACTTGTCCTGAATATTTTGTTACTCTCAACTTGGGATCTGCACTTTTACCTTTCTCCACCAGCTCCATTAATCTCAGAATCTTGTAACTGCATTTCAATTTATTTGTGGAATTAAATGACAAATGTATTCGCGAAGGTGGAATGTAAGTTTGAAATATTTTGTCAAATAACATACATTGAATAGACCTTATTTGGCGTCTGGGTTTCGTCACACTGAGCTAACAGCCTATAAACCACCCATCGTCTGACACGTGTATCGAATAGACCCCATATTTCCGGAAATAAACAACATCAATTGTCTAGCATTAGCCAATCGAACATTTACATT